AACACATAAGATCTGGAAAAAACTACGTTTACAAAATAGAAAGGTTTCATTCTATTCGTTTTTTTTTCGCTGCTGCGCACTCTTTTCCAATAAGCTTCAGCGAAGATCACAAGCTAAGCTGCCCTCACAATTTTGTACCTACCAACACAGATATTTTTTCATTACAAGATCCTTAGACCTTTAATTATAGCTGGCATCAACTGTCACTGCAAAATGATTGTTTATGGGTGAGAGGTGCAAAAAAAGCTTGGCCGACAGGTTTGTAAAGTTGTAAGGGTAACAATAAGATGAATGAGGTTTACCTACTACTAAGTGAATGAGGTTCAGCACCTAAGCTGTCAACTAGGTAACAATATGTAGGTTTTCTGCATTAGTGTTGAAGATGATCATTTTGAGATTTTCACATATTCTGATTTTGATGTAAGCTCATGACAATGGTAGAGAACATGAAACAAAAATTACAAAATCTTATCTGTCAATTATCAAATTGCTGAACACCCCTTCATATCGATATCAATGCGCCCAAATAAAAAACTTGAAAAGAAGAGGGAGAAACAAAGAATCTAGAAAAAACGAAAAAAATTGCCACCGAATCTTACCGAATTTCTTATTCAGTGTGATATATGCTACGGATTCCTTCGTCTCTTCAACATAAGCAAGTATGAGATGGCAATGTTCAACAAATTTTTTTAAAAATAAAAATTAAAAAGACTCGTTTTGTTACCTGATCCACGTAAAAACCCATAATTCTTAACTCAAACCTATCTTACTCAAACCAAACTATTTCTCTCTTATCTCAAACCACTACGCCTTTTCTGGGATTTTCTCCCTATTTTTATTGGAAAAACTGTCTTGCAAATTTTCGAAAATTGATTAGAAATGCATCAAAAAATTCAAAAATAATTGGATTTTATTCACAAAAAAATTTTTTTACATAGTCAAACCTAAAAGAACAAGGGAGCTACATCCACTGAATAAATCATCGCTTTATGAGATCTTGACAATATAGAAAAAACACAAAAACATTGAAATCTAAATAAAATTTTTTTCTTATTGTTAGGAAGGAGGCATTTCCACAGTAAATGCCTAGCGAAAAAAAACTCATACTGATTTTTTTGCCTCTTTGATCTCTAATAAAACTTTGCCGTTTCATGGGTTCTATTTATTCGTTCTTCGTTCCAATTTGCGATTTAGTCGTTTCCACTGTAACAATACTTTCTGGAATCTGCCCAGCAGCATATGTCTCTATCAGTCACTTTGGCATATTCTTTTTACTTCTGCAGATCACAGTCATACAAAAAGTTCCATTCATATTATCCAGACTTCCGACTAAAAAATGCAAAGGGAAAGATTCAGAGAAATTTTTTACAGCCGCCTTTGATACCGTAATCCTAGAGCAAGAGCTACTGGAAATACTCGATCATTATCTTCTGTTTTTTTTTCTTCCAAAAGATCTCGCGCCATTCTGCCTCACATGCTCTAGCTTTTCTCAATTTTTTCCACTTCCAAACATCATAGAAATGAAAAACCTTTTTGTCACTTCACTTCCAGTAATGAGCTACATCACATTCACTCTCTAAATATTGACTGAATGAATACATTCATATTGCAAGAGATGATGTCAACTTTACAGCAAAAGAAGGAGAAACTTTTGGAACGGAAATCGATGGAATAGGGGACTCGTAAAAACGACAAGGAAGCGAAAAGGCGTTTAGCGGAGGCCGAAAAAGAAAGGGAACGTGTGATCGACGCTAGCGACAAGAATCAACAAAGAGAGGTGCTGATTTGGCAATAGATATTTGGGGAGAAATATTTGCATGCGGAGCATACATGGCTTCAAAATTATATAACGAAGTCACGAAAAATTGATCATTAAGAAGCTATAAAAATCAGAGATGTTGCATTATTTTGGGGTAAGAATTCTTTCAAACAGTTAGCAATTTGGTGACGTAAAGTCAGGTGATTTCTGAAATAAGGCTATGTAGCACGTGCCAGAGTCGTGCTAGCACTGTGCCAGTCAATCGATTGATACGCGAGCGTCCACTGAGTGGCACGGCCGTGGAACATGAGGCACTTTAGGCGCTACGTAAGATGTGCAAACACGCATATTCTCAATATTGTGCGTAAATTTTCGAGAATAACCAATTCTGGGAAATCTCAACTGAATCTTTTGTTAATGTGTGGAAATTACGAGGATTTCAGGAAAGATGCTATAAACTTCATCAGTAGGGGGTAAACCCGTAGAAGACGAAATACAGATGCTTACGTATTTGCACATATGCGGCTAGCAGATAACTGTAAACAATTCCGCTGTTAGAAAAAATGGTACAAATATTTACTGTTAAAAATAATGTTTTCTAATGGTTGCGTCTATTGTTGCCGGGCGGCCAGAAGTGCCGGAAAATCAGTGGATCCAAGACTGATCCACGTGGTGCCAGCGTCGCTCCGGCGCGGATCTGGCACGGCACTGGCACGGCTCCAGAGCTGCGATGGAACGACTCTGGCACAGCTCCAGCTCGCAAGTGTCGGCCGGAAACGAATGAAATATGGAAAAAGAGTACAAAGACTCATTGTTAGCAAAGTCGTCGAAGTCCCGTACAGAATGAGAAAAAAAATTTCTGTAAGACCCAACATCTTAGCGAATATCTCCGCATAGTCTAAACCACACATGAGCGCTATCGCCGCCATCATCTTTACATCCGCTTATTCCACACAAAAAGCCAAACCGACTTTTTAGAGTAGCAAGGGGGGGGGGCTTAAAGTATTACGCAAAGCAGTTCCTCGTCTATGATTACGCAGATAAGAAATCAGAGTGTGTAGTGTAGCAGGGAAAAAACAGGATTAGAGTTATAAGCTTTGATTAAGGAATCTTAAAATATCGGTGTAATTTATATAAGATTAGTAGATTCCCGATAAAAAACGGCCAGACTATGAACGTTTCCAAGGTCACACAAGAAGCTTCAAGCCAGCATCAAAAAAGTCATGGGAGTCTCGGTTTTTTAGGAATCTCTTTGAGAATTTTTGAAAATAATCAAAAAATTTCAAAGAAAACTAGCTAATATGATTGAGACAAATTTCTTGGAGAACGAGTCTCAAAATAGTTGGTCGGATAACTCTAACAAGTAAGTATAGTGCCATTTATGGTAAAAAATTGCAACATAAATGAGAGGGTCTTTGAGGAAGAAAAGATAGTTTCGTTGCAGTGGATGTCTCTCCATGAAAATTTTGAGCCATAACTTATCTACCGATACCATAAAACTGTATTCTGCTCGCATATGTCATCGTGTTACGAAAAAGGGACAAAAGTGGTGTATTTCACAAACAGTAAAAAACGCTGACTAATGCAACCGAATCGAAATACATCAAAACACATTGTGAGTCAACTACTGACTCCAAAACTTTAGCGTCAGCAAGGGTTTAAGTACCATTCTTTGGAGGAGGCTTCAACTTAGATTTTTACATTCAAGCGAATCACCGATCCTCTTCATTACTGTAGGATTACTGTAGAAACTTTGACAGGGATTTTAGGCAACTGGAAGCCATATTCTGCCTCGGAACAAAACCAAACAATTCAAGAACTCTTATACTATGGTAATGGATGCCGCTGATGTCGACTATGAATTTTCCACTTCACTGTGATGCTTCTTTCCAAAGTTATCCCAGGTAGACTGTAATAACCGAATTCCCAGGATTTGTCAGAAATGTGATTACACCGTCAGAAAAGCTGAAAACACTCGTAAAAACTTGTGTAGTGGAATTGGCGTGCGCGAAAACCCTAGTACACGATTTTTCAGATTTTTTGCAAAAAATTTTGTCACTTGACATATTTCACCATGCTTCCACATGCTAGAAGTTCTTACCGTAATCCTACAGTAACGAAAAGCGATCGGTGATCCGACCGATACTGTAAATCTAAGTAGAAGCCTCCACTACAGAATGGTACTTGAATGACAGAAGAAGACGCATTGGGGAATGAGATATTGACGATTGAAAAGTGTGTACTTACTTTTGGGACACCCTGTATATTAGATTAGATTAGATAAATTAGCACGTAAAACTACTTTTTGGTTTTGCTTGGCGATCATATGACAATGAAATGTACGCCAGTTTCTCCTATTGCTAAATTATTTGGTCATTCGGAAAGTATTTACGTATTGCTCCTGAATGGGAAGGATGATAACGAGTTGCTATATGTAGATTTGTAGAAAATTTTTTTCTAACTTCCGCGCATGATGCCGTTCACGGAAAATCTGTATAGCATAGAATTGCCAGCAAAACGCATCCTAACATACTGAAGCTACATCATCTGCGTTAAGGTGAACGCCAGCTCATGAGGCGAACATCAGCTCAGTCAGGTGAATGGCACCTCAACTCAGGGAAATGCCAGCTTTTTCAAAGCAGGTCAGCTCAGGTCAGCTGTGTCAAAGAGCACGTCAGCTCAATGAAGGCGAGCAGTAGCTCAGTCAGGATGAAGTCAGCCCAGTCATGTGGGTCAGCCCAGTCAAAGTGCGCGTCAGCTCAGTCTCAGCTTAGTCAAGGTGCAAGTGAGCTCAGTCGAGGTTGAGCTGACCAACTGCTTCATCGGCTGAGCCGAGTGGAAAGCAAAGTCAGCGAAAATCGCATTTCGTACCATATAATTCAAGACTTATAATTCGAAGCACGTGAAGTATACGGCAAACAGAGGTTCAGATAGAAAAGAAAGCGCTCTACAACGAACAAACCTAACTTTTATCAAAGACAAAGCTGTCGAAGGCAGCTTTGAATACGAAGCATCATAATAAATTACTTGTTCATCAACTTTTCAAACACAAGGTGTATTTGGCTCTTCGCAATCAATCATTTTCGGCTCCTAGAAGCATCCAAAGAGCGTGTGCTGGCACGGACAACTTAGCCTTGGAATTTTTCATTGATCTAGTAACATCATGGAACGGACGGCCGGGGGGATTGAAAATCTAGATCCAATCTTTATTCGGTTCATGGGAAAACGTCAAAAAAATACCCGTAAAGACAGACTTCCATATGAGATCAAGATCAGTACAAAGTTTCAAACCACAAAACATGAGCGTAGACAGTAAGTACATCACAAGAGATCACATACAACAATCTCCAATCTCAACTTTAAGCTTTTACTCGTGGCTGCTGCTGTTGCTGCTCGGGCACTGTCCTTGGCGGAATCTGGCGATACTGCGGATGACTTGGTGGAGGTGGTTGGAGAGCTGAAGGACGTACTAGGGATGCAGTGTTGACTCGATAGAGTGGATGTGGCTGTAGTTCTTGGCGGATCAGTGCAACCAGTACCAATTCCGTGTTGTAGACAGCTGAAGAAGGAATGCGACCATCTGTACAGCAAGAGAATCAACGATTCAGGTTTCTTAGGCTGCGTCCAGAGTTGGCGCGTGTCAGCGCCGTGCTAGCGTCGTACCAGCGTCGTGCTGAGGGCAAACCAGCGCCCATATGGACTCGTCCCTAATTGATGGATCGAGGTATGGCACGACGCTAGCCCGAGGCTGGCAGGGCCTCTTTAAACGCAGCTTTAAACATGAAAAACTCACGAAAATTGCACTCGAGCAAGTACTGGACCATTCGCAAGTCGCATTCGCAGCTGATCACTATATAAGGAGCATCAGTCTCTATACATCTCGCTAAAATAACGCTACTTTTGTGTTTTTAACTCAAAAAATCATGAAAGGTGATTTTTACCTATCTCAGCTGGAGCAGGTCGCTCATCATGTACGGTGCCACCAGCAAGTCGTATCAATTTGCTCAAAACTGCTCGGCTAGGCTCAACAGAGGGGGTGATATAAAATTGAACGTCCTGGAACGTTAACATAAAACTGCTTCGGAAGAAAAAACCCTTCGCTTACTTCAAACAATTTCCTGTGTCTAGCCCTGAGTACACTGCGTTTGCAGTTATATCCGAGATTTCTTTCTTGGTCTTCATCATGCAAAAAATAATCCAAAGTATCTAAAAACCCAGTTTTTCCTTCATCTCATAAAATTTTTGGCCCATACTTACCCATCCACTGGCGACACTCGTATCCATGCACTATCCAGTACGGATTCACAATATTCCTTCCAAGGCAAATTGCCTCCAGAAGTCTTTCAGTCCTTCGTCCATTGGTTGTAACAAGATGTGTGCATTCGGAAATATCGTCGCATACACGGCCACCAAGATATCGCAATTTCTAGAAAGAAGCGCATGCACTATTTATAATCGAGTGGATAGAAGAATGGCTAGATGAGAATAATGACTTATAGAAGAATAAAAACAAAAAGGCAAAGGCAAAATTGGGGAAAAGTCGGCAAAAAAGCCATGGAAAATATGCAGTTACAATAATAATTTTGGATAACAAACCTGTGTAAGCACATGTTTGTTCTCCTCATCGATTCCACAAAAAGCTACCACATATTCGGGGTGTTTATCTCTTGACTTCTTACGTTCTTCCGCTTTAGCGGCTATCTCCGCTTCACTCGGAGGCGCTGATTGGGCCCTAAAATTCAGCAACCAAATCTACATTCTAGCTAGCCAGCAAGACTATGAATAGCACTTTTGAACCTACCGAAGTTTTTTGTTGGGGAAAACACCCTCGTCATTTTCAACCGCTTGTTTCGTATCAAACGACCGCCGCCACTGCTCCGGTGAGACAATTATGGGCATTTTCCAAGCCACTAAACGCAATTCTTCAGTAAATCATGTGCCATTCAAAACACTTACAAAGAAGCTGCTTAAACTGATCGTTGACCATCTCAAGCGCATAGGGACCAGGCGAGACACCTTCAGACGGCTGACCCACCTAGAAAATCGTAACATTTCGATCAAAATTATGCAAACCGTCCCGAAATTCGGAAAAAAATGACTACCTGATATCTTGGATTATCGATCTCCACTCTTTGCCCAGCATAGCTATCAGCTAGCCATTGATAGTTGACAATCGGAATATCCCATTCTTGGGCTTTTGTTACCTTTTCCACCCCACCACTGAAACAGCAATTTCAGATGAGCGCTCCTCTTCAGCGGCTGTAATGGTTTAGTGTGCGCAATATGTGCTTGCACTCCATATGTCATTCGAAAAAAAAACCCAGACAGATCGTTTGATTAGCATAAATAAATCTCTCTACTTTTTCCACCCTCCCAAAAAAATGCATCTGCACCTTATTGCGATTATCAAGTGAAGAAAATTTGCAGCATATAAACTCGTTTTCGAACTAGAAATGAGGAAAATATTGCATCAATAAGTCATTACCTTTTCGCGATCAGCAAATTATTGAGACGACTGAGATAAGGCGTAAACTTTGCTCCCATGGCTTCCACCATAAACTTCATCGCCGCTCTTTCACCTTCATCAAAGCCAGAGAACGAGACTAGCTGTAATAAAACCATTCAGTCAATCTACTTGTAACTATTGTCCTTCGGATTTATAGCTTTCATTATAAGAGTTTATCTCCATGCGATTTCAACCATATTTTACGCGTTTTTACATAACAATCAATGATCTTTACAGAGTTTTGGTAAATGAAGCGAACGTTGGTGACGGTAGCTGTATAATGAAGACTTTCAAAGCAATCGTGCTCAGCAGCAATCTGCGCACGCCCCTCCCCCCCCCCCCCGTGTATAGTTTATCCAAATTTTCTGCAGGATGATGCGCTATTGAATCAGATTAAGGGGGATTCATAGAATCGGCTGTGTGCCAACGCCGTTCCACAGAGTGATAGCGCCATGCTACAGCGCGTCCGGACGCGTACCATATTGATCGGTCATCGTTCCGGCACAGCGCTGGAGCCTGGCACGGTGCTGGCACGAGTAACTCCGGACGCAAATCAAAAAAACGGATATCAGAGGATACCAAAAATAGTCTACTTCAACATCGGCTTATGAATTAATGATATAAAAAATTGAGATAATACGATGAAAAATACTATGAAAAATGGAATATGTCCCACCTTTCCAAGTAAAGGCCGACAACCATCGACAAAAACTGAGGGCAGATGGGCGTGTCTCCACGGAACATCCATTTGTTTTTTCATCAATACGTCGACTAACCATTGCATTGTGACTAAGCGCTTGCGATCTTTCAATGCCTAGAATTTGATTTTGTGGACTTCCGTTTTACAAAATGCAAGAGTGACTAACCAGATGAGCATGCTGCGTCCTAATTGACTCCACAATTACATGTGTTATGATGCCGACTCTTTCACTATAAGCTTTCGTGCCAAATTCAATGTCTCCGCCATGCATTCTGATGGCAAGGACTATGGTCGGCAGGTCCATTTTGTCCGTGAACATCTTCTCCATATCGAACATATGTAGAACGCAACCAGCCAGGCATATTTCGGGTCGGACTAAAAGAACGAAATCCTCCGAGCTTCGGAAAGATTATATGACAAGCTCAATAAATAAAACCATTTAAATATAATAAAAGAATTGAGTGAATAAAATCAAATGAATAAATAAAGAATAATTGAATAAGTGCACGGTTAGCGGCTGACTTACCGCTCATAAGAACGTTCGGTTCATAGGTGAAGAACTGGCTGGGCATTACCGGTTGCTGGGGAGTTGGCACCACACGAATAGGCTGTGCGACCATTTCGCCTATATAAGGCAAAATTTACACATTCAGTTTCCCAATCCCATCTGGACCTACCATTACTCATAGGTCTAGGCATGGCTGCTTGCGGTGTCATCGGTACTTGCGTAGGTGACATCAGTGATGGAGACCTCATATCAGGAGCGTATTGCGGTGATGGAGTAGGCTGCGGAAATCTCGAGCCTGCAAAAAAAATCTCTAACATGAAGTTCTTTTCTACCATCTAGAACCAGAAAAAAATAACTTCGCTATAGCCACCCTTTTACATGCAAGCAGCTTATTGTCATATTTTTTTTAGCGAGCTTTTTTACCATTTGGTAAAGTGGACGGAAGAGGCTCGTCCGGCACGTGCTTTGCAAGAAACGTAATCCCACATGCTGCTCAAGAATGATTAGGCTCTTTTAGTGCAGCGTGCCCTAGCCTCTACACCCCGCCCTCCTCTTAAGAAAGTACAGCCAGATAACACTCCATAGAGTTTCAAAATGGCGGTCCGAGGGGGAGGGGGGAGTCGAGAATGGGTCGCAAATTTTTGGAATTACTTACATGGGTTATAAAAATGTGCAAGCGACGTGTTTATTCTTGTAAATAATCAAAATAATTTTTTAAAATTTTTTTAGATTCAAATTAGCCTTGCTAAGAATTTTTTCCGGGGGTTGTGGGCCTGCAAAAATTTTGAGAAGCACCCCAATAATTTTTTTGGAGTGCGTGGCTAACACCGTGCAGCTTCATTGGAAAAAAAATTCCTGCCGCCCCCCCCCCCCCTGCACACGGAAATCCTGCCGACCGCCACTGAGTTTTTCCTATTATCATTTTTCATTGTTGGAGATGATAATAACCACGGGAACATAAAATTCTATAATAAATAAATTTCAAGATTCCTAGAGAAGCTCTAATTCAGATATAGCTTACTTTGGTCACATGACTATTGAATAAAAAATTCATAACCATCTTTGCCAAAAACCTACTTCTAAACCCAAACTGAATCTATCCAATAAAATAATAAAATTCTAGTTGAGTGTAACCAGCTGGAAGCAGTGAAAAATCTACGAGAAATATATAGAGCAAACAAAAGCTCGGACTCGGGCAGCATTTCGCTAGCCGCCGACTCGACAAAAAGTGCGGCTGAAGCAAGCCGAAAAGCGGAATTTGACGCAAATGAATTAGAGATTCAGACGCACTCAAAATGCATAGCTTTCCCCGTGCTTTGAGAGTGCACTGCAAGGAAATATCAAGATAGAATCGGTATTTTTGGCATAAATTTTCACAAAAACTCTTTCTCTACAAAAAAAATTATCCACATTTTGAAATACTGGCTAAAAAAGGGAGAAATCAGTAAAATGTTTTAATGTTACACAGCTTCGAACTAGCTTTGCAAAAGATTGAATCTCGAAATAACGGAGTGCAAGCGGAACAATGTGTTCATTTCTACACGCACAAAATAGTGTTATGACATGAAAGACACAATAAAAGTGCAACATGCGACGCTCTGAAATGACAGAACACATTTAGAGCTGTTATTATGCTTCGAGTTTACATAACAAGAAGAATATGAGCTACTTTCCTAAGAAACAAGGGAATAGAGCTTCCCTAGTAATAATGTTCGAGCATAGTGTGCACTCAATTGTATCCAATTGAAGTTACTCTTTTTTACACGCATCAAGGCACCCTAGGGAGAAGTATAAAGCATGCGAAAGACTTCATGACGTTATCGCTCTCGGAAATACTCGCACACCACATGGCCAGAGTTAAAAGCATTCAAACAATTTTCTAACAAGGGAAGGATACCTGGTGGCCGTGGCCTTTTGGAATGAAGCGCATACCATTAAATGCATCTCGAGGCGCTGATTTCAAATCTGCTTTCGGTATCTGCTGCGCGCTCTTCCGAAAGATTTTAATGAACATTTCCTGCCACCAAAATTTGCGCTGTTTTGATGACAGAAATCACTAATATTGTTAACATATTCATTACGCACTACAAAAAAGCGCGCAAATAAAATAAAGCTTTACATTAAGCTTAGGAAAAAGTCTCCGATAAATCAGAGTCTAAAGAGCCTGAATACTGATGATTCAGACTGCCTAGGTCTCGCGAAAATAATATGGAAAAAAGCCCATAACTTTATTCAGAGAGTCGCACAGCAGATAGTGAACACAGGTTTAAAATCAGCGTTTCAAGGCGCATCTACAGGTATACATACCATTGCAAAAGGCCACGGTCACCAAGTATCCTTTTCTTGTAAGATGGTTTGCGCATTCTTACTCAAATACAGGGTGACTTGAAAAAGTGATTTAGGCTCTACAGATGGCTTTTAGAAAACGGCAAAAAATATTGTAGCAAAAAAAGTTATCAAACAATTACATCAACAATCACTGTTTGATAACTTTTTTTGCTACAATGTTTTTTGCCTTTTTCTAAAAGCCATCTATAGAGCCTAAATCAACTTAGATTTGCAGTATGGAGCAAATCATCCTCCCTTCACTACTGTAAAATTGAGGTAAGAATTTTATCGTAGGTATGAATTTCTGGACAAGTTATTGGGAGTCACATTTTGCCTCAGAAAACAGCAGGGAAAACCATACTGCTAGTCAAATTCGCCTATTCTGATTATAACATTTGACTTTTACAGCAATTTCCTTTCAAAAGTTATCCCAGGCATACCGTAAAAAATGTTGATCCATTCTGGCAAGAGTTCTCAACGATCACACAGTGTGCATATTTTTTGGGACACCCTAACTTGTAAGTTTTATGGAGTAGGCTGCAGATCTTCTAGTTCATATATAAGTTCCATTCCTTGCAAAACTCAACTCACTTGAAAAAAGAGGAGTTAGGCATAGCTTGCAATCAAGCAAACAATAACGGGGATCAAATTTGCAAAAATCATCAAAAAGCATCAATCGGAAATTTTAAACTGTACATTCTTTACACCATTATTTTCATGCTTCCTCTTATCAAATTATTCTGAACAGATGGCTATCTTCTGACTTACCTACAATTTGAAGTCACGTTTAAAGACTCTTTAACGTATATCGCTCATTCTCAACGTGAGCAGCAAATTCAGTTCATTCAGTTGCACCCTTTAATTCAACTGGCTTGGCGGCTGGAAGGCGGGGCTTCGTGACCCAATTGCTAGGTATCAGAGAGCGAGATGATCAGAGAGCGCGCACGCGGGAGAGACGCAGATTGCGTCGCGGGAATGAGCGGCCTTAATCAGGCCACAGAGCTCCGCCTTCCCGAAGCCAAGCTAGTTGAACTGAAGGTTAGTTCGAGTTCTTCCCCTTCCCTTTCCCTCCCCCTCCCCCCTCCCAAACCTTCTCCTCTCTATATCCAACAAAAAAAAGAAAAACTTGCCGTTCGGAGTAAAGGGTGGCTGAGGCGTTTGTGGAGTGTGTGGTTGCGCGCCAGTTGTGTACACTAAATGAAAAAAACTTCGAATGACAAACAAAGAAATGAATAAACTAAATTTTTCAACTTCAAACCATTTCTTACGGGGAAAAAATAGTGAATCACAATCCGGTACTACTTGCTCAAAACCTCAACAAAAGCACCGCTCGATTGTAAACATTTGGGAATGGAACACTGCTGGGGAGTTTTTGGAATTAAGTAAACATCGGCAGACTCGGACTGCGGGCCAATAAACGGACTAATAAAAGAACGCTGTACTTCCATTCAGTGCACATGAATCCTTCGTGCGAAGTATTATAAAAGTTTTCACAACAGCTAGCTTTTTATCTGATCACCGATCCTGTTTAATTCGAAAAATTGTTGCTTTCTTAACTCAAAAGAATTCTTCTAATCGCGGACAAAACCCAAATTTGTCATGTATTGTGAATTTCAGTTCTAAGTAAAACTGCAGATAAGGCAATAATTGAGCTTTGTACTCGAACCTTATGAAACCATACATTGGCTGTGTTCACAAATTAATTTTTTTGTTGATGTTGAGAGAAGCAAATTTATTTGTTTGCTTAATTTTTTGCGAAAAAGCCGTTTTCGGCCACTAAAGAGTAGATTCCGAATCATGATAGCCAAAGAGTAGCCGCAAGTCTGAATTAAATGCGATGCTTGTTTAATTTGTTTTGAGAATTATGAAATACACTTAATCTTACGAAGCATCATATCGAAACTGATATTGTGCGATACTACTTCAAAAGCTGGTTAGTGGAAGGAAGACTAGAATTTATCTTTCTAGTTCGCTACATCTTCTAGAGAACTATTCGTTAGCTCAGTGCTTATGATTCTCAATACCTAGTTACCAAGTTTCAACATAAACTATCAAATCCTTTCTCATTTCGTGTCCACACCCCTCGGCTGAAAACGCGAATAATTACAAACATAAGAGATATTATATCCACCGAAAAACCATAATATGGAGTTTTCGCATAAGAAAAAATCCAGCAAGAACATTTATTAAAGACTACGAAACTGATGAGAGAGATATATCCCGTGCTAGCGACGCACTTTTACCACAAGGCTTCAGCAAAGTTCGCATCGAAGAAATCTCATTACCATAGCAATGTACTTTGCGTAAAATATGAATGCTTTGTGATGCAGGCTGGAGCTTGAACGGAGACTGCACTTGAGCAAATAGTGAGAGCTCTAATGTGCAGTTCAGTATTATCTAATTACTACCCAAGAAGGGATGCACCGATGCAAAATCAACGATCATGTATTGAATTTCTTAGTCTGCGCAAGGAAAGGAAGGGTGGAACAGAATAAAATGGTTGTAATGGAGATAAGCTGCCATTAGTGTCAATGATAAATTACTTATAACTTCAATCCTTTGCCTAAAAAGAGGAAAAGCCCAATGTAAAGATAGGAATGTGTCCCAACACTACAGCATCCAAGAGCCGTTAAAGGAGCGGAAGGAAGGCGAGCTGGCTATGATGCATAATTAAGAGCATAGCAGCAGCGGAATCGCCTGACAACATATGATTGGCAGAAACGAGCCCATGAAGATATTGAAAGAGATGAAAAACGGAATCTATAGGAAACCATTGCATGTTTGGCTATCTTTAAAGTCAAAGATGCAAGAAAGTAGAAGTGTCACATGGAGAGGAAAATATATGGCAACTTTTACTGACTGTGTCACGCGCATTTGGGCTTTATGCTCCATAAAATTGGTTTTATCGCTTTGTTCAATTAGAATGTTTAACTTATAAGCAAAATCAACAAATAAAGTGAAGACTAAGGTAGTTGTCGAGCACTACTTGTACTTATTGTGACATTAAAATGAAATTATTTCCTCCGTCGCTTTTCACTTCTGACTAAAGCAGACTTACAAATGTAATTCATTCTCAATCATAACGCACTAATAAAAACAATGCAAAAGCGCAGAAGCCCTTTTAGGCTTCAGAGTGCTTCACCACTTTCTTGCGCAGGAAATCAGATATTCTAGCAGTAATAAAAAAAAGAAACCACAAAACCAATACGCTGATTTCATTGCTTAAAAACCTTTTCGTAGAAAGTGGGTTACCGAGAGTTGAAAAATGCAACTGAAGTCTCATGAAAAGTAGAACAGGAGCATGTGATACTCAATCTTAAACACGCTGCTACTTCATAAGCAGCTATTCGAAGATTTCGAATAGAATGACTATAAAATCGGACCTGAATCTTTCTTCTATTATAAAATCAAGCCATAATCATATAAAAAAGCAAAGAGAAAAAAGCGAGGAGAGAGAATATCAAGTTTATAGTCTGTTTAGAATTTATACAGCCACCAACTCACCATTCAGTTCCACACCTCGCATCATACTATTCAACATATCAGGACTAGGTATCTTGAGCATCTCTTCTTCGTCGATGAGCTGTCGCGAGACTGCTTTGCGCGGCCGAATTCGCCGTGCCCGTCGTTGTGTGTTCGTTTTCAACATTTCCTGAGGAGAACCACAACTTCCTCGCCGTTCCTCAAGTATTGGAGAAGAATTCCCAGGGAGAACAGCACTTGGAATCTGCATGAGGTCGTCATGCCGGGGTTCAACGACTTCATAAGTGATGATGGGTCCGTGTGATGGTCGACAGCTCAACATACTATCCATGCATGTCTGCCGAGGAGGATATTTAGAGTACATCTAAAGTAGTAGATACACGCAGAGCAACGAACGCAGAGCGCGTCTCGAAGGAATTAGGAATATCTCTGAGGAACGGAGTGGGAACGATAAGGCTAAAACGATGAGAAGGGGAAAGAACTGGGTTGTAATAAAATACTCAAACTCAAAATGAACGAGCAGATTTCCATTAGATTGACGAAGCCATCACAAGAAAGCAACGAATCCTTTTTAAAAGATTATGTAAATGTCGTCTTAAGTGGATTTGAAAGCTAATAATGATAAATTTGACATTTGGTTGGAATTACGATGCAAAGTACAAATTTAACGCATTTGAGCTGACAGATCACCTCTCAACTTGATGCGGCTAAATGAACTACGAATTCATAAGAGAATCAATGGCTGGAAACAGTGATTCAATGAAAATAAAGATGAAGGCTCTTTAGTTTCGTAGTGCATTATTTTCCACTATGTCGTTCAACTATGGCTTAGCAAGCTTTTCGCGGATTACATTTTTTCTTGAAAAAAAAACAAGCCGAAGAAAATCAAGACGAGCGCGCACCCAATTGAGCAGAACAACAATAAAGAAATCGCAAAAGGCGCAAAACTTATTCAGAGACACCTTCATTTTCGTCACGCGCTAGTAGAATACAATTTCGATCAAGTTAAGGCGCACAGAAAAAAAGGATACAAAATAACAAGCTTCCAGTTCAGAAAACTTTGATCACTAGAAAACCTTTGTTTTTGTTTTGTGCATGTCTTATAAGGGTTTGGACATATAAATATGACACGAGTGCAGGCGATAAAATTTCCAAAAAAATTTATTACTTGCAAGTCTTTAAAGGCGCCTTCGACCCTTTTTCTGGATGTAATTTTACATATGTAGCTTCTTGCAAAAAATGACGAAAAAGTTGTAGTGAAGCATTGTTCACGAAACTGATTCACGACAGATACACTTCTTGTGCGACTATAACGATACATCATGCGTTAAGTCCTACTCGTAGAAATTCGAGGTCATATGCGGAATAATCAAAAGTACAACTACTCTATGAACCTTCATTAGAGAGCTCTTTGCTCTACACCTACATGATCTCGCACATTCATTTAGTTTCAAGCTGGAGGTTTCTGTGAGAAACATTTCCACATTTCAACAGGACTGGATACTAAAGACGCTGAAAATGCACGAATAGCGATTGTAGCTATAATTTTAGTTTCTAGAAAATTCGTCAACAAAGGCAGACAGGTGGAAATGAGACGTGAAGCTGCGGAACACACACGTTCGTATATAACTGCTAATGAATCCAATTCAACGCGAACGCAGCATGGACAGTCGCGACCGGAGATGAGGACGAAAAAGAGGGGTGGACGGGCAGCGCAACACTCTAATTCCCACGCAGCAGACAAGTACGACATTTTCCGCGCTGTAAGAGGGGATGGAGTGGCGCAAGGCAAATGGGATAATTAAATGCTATGGAGCTTCAGAAATTTACTAATAAAGCCGATTAGGCAGCTGAATCTGAATAAAATCATTGGACAAGTTTTCTAGCACTTTTTGAACGCTGATACGTTAGGCTTAACTTTTAACAAAGACTGGGCAACAACCAGTCACACACTAAGAGGCAAAAGTAGCGGATGCCTTATTCAAAAACACCTCCGCCCAGATTGAGGTTGAGCTGGTGAGATTTTAATACTGTATAAGAGCGGCGCTTCTAACTATGTGTTTGCCGAGGTTCCGCTGCAAAAAAGGGAATTCCGAAGCAAGAAAATCGCTCCAGAATGTAGAATCGGTCAAGCTAGCTCCGCCCATCCACGTGGGCGGTCCGGAAACGACAAGCCCTGGCTACAAACTGCCATAGAATGATCGAGCGGCATCGAGATAACGATCATCTTTAAATTCAAATTTTCTAACAAAAAAGCAGCCATCGCTCGGCTTGGGAAATGCGGTAGAAGAGTGAAAATAGGGGAATTTACAACTACCTTTCGCTCAAGAAAGACACCAAGACCAAATAAAAAAGTTATCATTGTTGTATACAAATCTGCAGTAAATATTCGAGGTTTTTGCGCATAAATATTCAGAATATTCAGAATCCAAACGCAAAAGCATTAGTTTGCCTCTAACCTGTACATATAGATCTCTCCACTTACTTTTCAATCACAGTCTATCTAATATCAAAGCGAAGAGCTAGTCACGTAATTGCATCAATTTCGCCACAGCTAATAGGCTGTTTGGTCAACATATGCAAAAAACGAAAATAAAAACATATTCGTGACATTTCCCATAGCATTAGAAATTGAATACGTATGGGAATTTGGAACACAGATTTGCAAATGACGTGCGTTCTCTATGCGAGAAGCCTTTTGTGACATGAA